GTTTACGACAAGTTTGTCTTTTTGTAATTATATTCTACATCAAAGCGTGGTATACAGCGACATCTGCAATTTTGGCACCAAATAATGATTTTGAATTTATAAAAAAATTTATTTCCTATGATAGCGTTGATGCGGCTGTTTCACGAAAAGCTTGTGACAAAATGAGTGACCACTTGTGGTACTTAAATGAAGAATTAGCTGTTATTTCTTTATTTGATACCAACGTTTCCGTAGGTATAAAAAAAAAGATGATTGAGGCGATTCATTCTCGCCCAGCTTTTACAACGACAATTCAGCGTTATCAAGTGCTCGAAAATGAGCTTGAATTAATTTTACAAAAAGATTTAAGTGATTTTGTGTCAAAAAAATCATTAGAACTGTTTAAAAAATTCGATTTACCTAGCGATTTTTTAGCAAAGGATATTTCGACTTGGTCTGATGACGATAGTTATATCGAATGTACTGAATTTTTTAAAACGTTAAAAGTAACGAATGACGTAGCTGAAAGAGGAATTGCGTTAATTGGAGAATATAACAATTATCTCACTAAGGATGAAGACCAACTACAGTATTTATTACAAGTAGTTCGAGAACATCGGCAACGTTATCCAGATTGTTTAAAAAAAAATCTTCAATAATAACAAAAATTTAAATTACATTGGATTGCTAAGTAATTTTCAAACGATTTAAAAGCCTGATTTAAAAGTAAAGTAAATAAATTTTTTATTCATACAATACCAATCGTCATTTGATTTATTCCTTCGTAAGTATTTTAAATTACTGAAGAAAAATATTTGTCTTTAGGTTAAATAAACTATGATTTTTTAACCCACTGATGCTGAAAATGTTCGGAAAGAGTTTTACTGGCCTTATTATAGCATAAAATTATAAACAATTACTGTTTAAAAAACTAAATTTAAAATGTGTATAAATTTTTGTGGTGATTTATTCCAATAAGACCATCAAATTTATTGTAATGCATCAAAAACGTCAAAATTTGCGATAAATTTAACTTTAGCCTAAAATAACTCTTCAACTATCAGGTTTCTCGCAAAATCATAGGAGACACTTTTTGTAGAGCGTTCAATTCTCTATAAAAATATGTGATTGAATTTTTTTCACGACACACGACGGGCTAGCAATAAAAATCAGAAGGTGCAAAAAAAAAATTTCCCATGTTATTCTTATGGGAAATAGAAAAACGCGATGCGGACCGTCTTAATATTAATATTAAGAGCTCAAATTTTAACTGGTATTTTTTTACGTTGAAAAGAAACTTTTGAACCTCTTTGCACGAAAAAAAAAATTATTATTTTTTTTTTAATCACCCTAGTATATAGTTAGTTATATTTTATGTTAATATACATATTTCACAATATTATGTAATTTTTCTAAAAACCAAATATTTTGAATGAAAGATGCGATATAATATTTTTTATCTTTTTTTACAGACAGCGGCACAGCGCAGCTGTTGAAAGATGGCAATAAGTTGTTTGACAGCCTAAATGGGTTTGCACAGGGGGCAGAAAATGGTAAGGAGGTACACTGTGTTGTCACTTGGGAATCAAAGCACTGGTCTTTCTGGGAGGAGATGCTGGAAATCATTCCCAAGTGGCAATTCCTTCGTGACAACAATACTGTTTGTTCGCCACCCAGTCAAACAGGGTGGCAACTGACAGTAAAGTCATTCATGATGATTTGTACCGAGCTTCTTCAAAGTGGGGAGTTCTCAAGTGTGCGCCCTCGGTCGTTTAATCAGGATCCGCTCGAGAATTTGTTTGGGGCCATTCGCTCTTCGTGCGGAGCCAATGATACTCCTACAGTAGCACAATTCATAAGCGCTCTAAAGACGCAAGTTGTCTGTGGCCTCTCTAAGGGTCACCTGAAGAGAGGCAACTGCGAGGCAGACAACGCGAAACTTTTGAGCGACTTCCGTCATTTATTTGAGGGATTGAATCAGCAACTTGACCAACCGAGAGTGGCTGAAAGATGCAGTGTAATCGTTAACATTAGTAGTGTGATAGATGTACCAACACTTGCAGATGAAATAGAATTAGCTGTTTTGTCTGGAAGTCCTGGCATTTTTTCCACAGCTTATGTTAGCGGCTACATTGCTAAGAAGCTCTTGCAAAAGTCAAGTTGCGATACTTGCAAGAGCGTGTTAATTACTGAGCCTTCAGCACAAGACAACTTCAATATTTATATTTCAAATAAAGAATTTAGTACCGATAAACACAGGCTAATTTATCCATCAGAGAAATTAGTCAAAAACGTGGGCATTATAACGAACGTAATGGAAGCAATCGTTCCCCAGTTAATGAATGATGCACGGGATGTTCAGCATAGAATTGCAACTTCAATTTTCTCTAGTTCAAATACAGAAAATCTTTTTGAATGGATTTCCTGTGATCCTCACAGGATATCAATCGCACAATGTATTGTCGCTGCTGTGGGCCGAGTATCTCTTCGATGGTATGCCACTGGCTTTAATCGTAAGCGAAAGACCCAAAGGAAAGCTCGAACTGTTCGCAAAAAATTGAAAAAATTGGGATATCCGTCATAAGGGTTTGTAGATATTCGTTCACACTAATAATAATCTGACTGCAAGGGTACGACGTTACACTTGCATATCGAATCCGCTATTTAAGGTGGTAACCACTTGACGGGTCCATTAGTGAACCCGGATGAGTGATTTGGCCCAGATGGGTGGCCCTGTGTCTTATCGGAATGTTTACCAAAAATGTCCGAGGGAATAGTTTTTTGAGTTTTAAGCCGGACGCGAACGGGTGAAGACATTTGTGATTTTTATTATGAAAAAAAAGTGTTGAGGTGAGTGTATCACTGAGTTATCGGTCTTAGGGGTGATGTGAGTGAGATTTCACTAAGGTGTAATCTGCATTGTTAATTGCTGTAAAAGCTAATTGGATTATCTACTGTGATTTGGTGAGTCCGTTCCTTGTTGTTATTGTTACATTTGACAAGATTATGGATAAGTGGTACCGAGTCAGTTGTCAAATAATGTTAACATAATCCTGAGAGATATTGAAATAGTAAGTGATGAAATGAGCCTTGACATGTCGAGCTAATTTGATTAGGCTGTCCGGCTTCCTGTGATACCTTTATGCCTGTTGTTGTGGGTTTATGCCTGTTGTTGCGAGCGAAGAAATACCTGTTGCTGCGGGTACGGTGCGGACATCAATCCTGATGTCTGTGGTCAGAGGACTAGTATCAAAGTGGACACCTCGTGCGGTTATTCCCTTGATGTCACTGCACCCTTTGGTACTAGACCTGGGACAGTACCAGGAGCTGGGTGCGTCGCGCGGCTTTCCACTTCGCCCCTTGTAAACTCCGTACTATACCCTACGACGGTATCAGAGTGAGCACTTCGTGCGGTTTTTCCTTAGTGCTCATTGCACACTCTGTTCCGGGCAGTATGGACCATGTGTGATTCCAACCTCTTGGATAGAGCTCATTGATTGATGAAATAATAGTTAATTGAATCAGTCATATTCTTGATAAAGTAGTACCAAACTTGTTGATTGATGATAAGTCAAAATGACACGGACTCGCTATTAAAAAGTAATATCCAATTAGCAAATTCGCTACATCGACTTTAGGGATCGATGGCTCACATCCCCAATCACATTTTACAGGTTGCATAATTGTTGTTATGACCGATTCACCTCGACACCAGCCCTCCTGACCGGGCTATGCCCGTAATTAATCAGACATCAACATTGACGACTTAAAAGTGAGTTTATGATTTAATTATGTTCAAGCCTGACATTTTAGTAAAGTTATAAATGGTAAAGAAATAATGTAACGCCCTCACACACACACGCACACACACACATAAAAAAAAATGTTTTCTTCGAAATTTTTCTCTCCTACAAGAGCTAATAATAGACGTACATTACTCCCATTTCAAAAAAGAATAATTGTAAGGAATAAATCATTAAAGGGGGTCTATTGCTACCTCCGTAAAAATTATGACTTTGAGTATATTATTACAAGACGTTTAAACCAGGACATTTTAGAATTTTTTTCTTATATTCAAGCAATGGGTGGAACCAAAGAAAACCCTACTGCTAATGAGTTTATGCATCGCCTAAAATGTTCCACTCACCATCTTTAGGAAAAAATAAAAATTGCGAGGCGGATGATGGAACGAACTCAACAGGTTGTAACGATACGCTCCAGTCTGGGCGTCGCAAAGCGAGTGATCCCCTCCAGCCGGAGCATTAGTTCGGTCGCTCCTCTTCTCCCAGCCGGCCTCGACTGACATCGTACGACGTGGCGAGCTAAGAGAGGCTATAAATGCTCTCCGTTTTCGGCAGAAAAGGTACAGTGTGTCTCGGCATCAACCGAAGGACATCTCGACGGTATTAACCGGAGGATTACCGTCCCGACCGACCATTCGCCAGGCATCAACCGTGGGATATAACTTACCACCCTCCAGGCATTAACCGCTGGACTCCCGTCCCAAGCGACCATCCCCCAGGCATCAACCGGGGGATGATGGACCCGACCTAGCGCCGCTCGGCATTAACCGCGGCGTTCCACCCTACAACCACCATCCACCCTTTGTGCGTGGACCATATGCTTGCGCCCGTCCACGACTGCTGTGTATGTTGTGTGTTAAATAAATATTTTCCTACTACTAGTCCTGAATTAAAGAAGATTAACTGAAACTGATTTATGCATCTCTATCAACAAATATGTAAAATGTTTTTAGAACTCTTTCTTTGCGTCTAAAAAAAAGTATAATTTATTGTGCTTATTATCCCATCCAATTTCTTTGTCAATGTCATCTTAGAAAATTATTATTGCACAAATCGTCCCTTTTATAGCAGAAAAAATGTCTACGCTTTACAGTCCCCTCCACCTATGGTGGTATAAAAAAACAATATTCTTATGATTGCTTTCACGCATGAAGTCAAAACGTCTAAATCTACAAAAACCCCACATCATCTTCGCAACAGGTTTCAACAAGCACTCACCCGCATCCTCCAGCACGTGCTCCAAACAATAATTCCCAGGCGGCACCACCACCTTCGACTCCTGCAGGACCAACCTGCCATTACGCAGCATGTCCGCCTCCTTCAGCTTCCCCACAAACACCAGCTCCTGCTGGTGGCAGTTCGGGAATCCCTCAACCAACCTTTTTTCGCTCCCCACATCCACTTTATAACCCCCATTTTTCATATGAATGCAGGTCTTATTCGTATCGGAAAAAATCGCATTCTCTCCACAGCACTTCTTCACCTGGACGAACGTGATGTTCTCCGCCTCCTGCTCCTCCTGGAGACAATACAGCACGGCGTTGTAATCGATGCAGTAGTCCGGAGGATGCACCAGCTTGTTGTTGTGCACCACGAAGAGGGAGCCGTTCTGGAAGGGCACGTAACTCCCCAACGTGGACGTGGTGAGCAGTCCCGGAATCGAGCACGGGGGTTTGATGGCCTCCTGGAGGTGCCAGTTCGGGGGGACCTGGTTCAAGGGAAGGTACTTGCGGGAGTTGGGGCTGTACACCCGCAGGTTCCACTCGGGGGCGGTCACAGGGACACACTTATTTTCGTTGGTGAGGGTGTGTGAGAAAGGGCAGCACTTGGAGACGGTCACGTTTCTGGCGGCGTCGGCGGCGGCCACGAGAAGGAGGAGGAAGAGTGGCGGCATGTCATTGAAGGTTGAGGATTACCGAAACTACTGACTGCGAGACGCCGAAAACAAGACTGAAGAGCGATTTTGTTTTCCTTCCGATTTCAAGTAGTTAACAGTTGCAGTGGACCGGTCGCTCCCCACTACGAGCCACTGTCTTACCTTTGTAGTCCGGCCAATGCGATAAAGGCGAGGGATTGCGATGAGGAGGGTGGGGAAGGAGGAGATGATCGTGAGATTATGCCGCGATTGGGATTGAATTTGATTGAAGTTGGGAAAAGGGATTTAATTAAAGAGTCGCGCTTAACTCGCGTTATTGGTGTGCTGCTATCTTTTATCGTAGCGTGTTATTAATAGCTTTCATGGTCAAAATTAAATAAAATTATCAAACTTGTTGTATATTTAGAATTTGTATAGATATGAAACACGTTTTTTCTTTTCTCTGATGAACTGATAATGACGTGACTGCGCATGACCTTATGCTTTTGTGTTAACTGGCACAATAATAATATTTTTTTGCGTTCAAGTGTTCAGAAGTCTCACTTTTGCGATTATGAATACAGAACGGGCGAACCGAGACGAAGTTGAGATTCCAAAAATGCGCTTCGCATAAAGGTTTTTCAACTTTGACTGAAAAACCTGTACCATAAACTTCAAATATGGACTGGATAGACTTTTTGTCTGAAGGTATTGTTAGGAATTCACAAGGATGCGGGCGATGCTGGTACGTCATCACTGAGAAGGTCAGAAGGGAAAGCACTGGATTCATATTATGTATGGATGGCGCTGGGTGGCGAAAGATGAATAACGACGATATTATGTACTGTTATGATTTTATGTTCTTAATCAAGCTTTTCTGGACTTTCTAACAATCGATTAATGCGACCATCTAGAGAAGTTTTGTGTGCACCTCAAATCGTTGAAACCATGTTTCTATCTTTTCACGGATCTGAAATTCAAAAGACACCAAATATTATCAAAACCTCGATAAATTCAGTTGAGGTTTTAACCTGTTTAGTGTGTACTAGAACACATAAGAATTCGTGTATTGAACAAGGCCTCATTACAAAACAATTTAAAAAGACGTAGTGTCAAGAAAATGAAAAAAGTTTGTGGGAAATAAAGATACTAATTAGTGTCACCTTAAACTTAAAAGACTTCAAAACACGTGGTCCACTCTTCATTTTAGTGTCAATGTCCTCTCGCATAAAGGTAATATTTTTGTCTTGCTGCTGGTCATATCATAGTTATTTGTTTCATGATAGCCACTATTATATATAACGGATGCCATTGCAAATATTGCAGTCGATGATGCAACTAAAATTTTGCTTTTTGTATCAGACGCTGCTGCAACGATGTTAAAAGTAGGTACACTTCTAAAGCAGGCTTTCCCAAATCTATTACATTTAACGTGTTTTTCCCACGCAATACGTTCGCGACGCGTTTCCTACTATTAACGATCTTATCAGTGCATGTAAAATAGTTTCATTAGAATCTCCGATTAGGATCTCCTTGTAAAAGGCACACTGTCCTATGATACCTCATTCAGCAAACCTGTGATCACATGGTGGGGAACGTGGTTGCAAACAACCCTCATTTATGCGGAACATTTTAAGTTGATAAAATCATTTGTTTTCACTTTACCCGACGGGATTGTCAGCATATATAGATTTCAAAAAAATTTTAATGGAGAAAATTTGCTACAAGTATAGTTTATTAAAACCAATTTTGAACCAATTTTACCAACGATAAAAAGTCCCGAACAACAAAATGTGCCCCTAAAATCAAGCTTTAAAAACTCGAACATTTATTTGAGAAGTCGACGTCACAACGAAATGCGTAATAGTGTAAGCCCCCTTGAATTATATAGACTCGTGTGCGTCTGAACGGAGTCGCACATGAAAATGCTGACGAGGAGTTCTGGGGCGAGCGAAGGCAGAACGTTCTCATACGTTGAACAAGAGAGTCACCCAAGAACTTATTTAAAAGTAAAGAGCGTTTATATAAAGAACTTATTTAAAAGTGAAGAGCGTTTATAATAGGATACCTTATATTAATAGTACCATGCGACCGGCTATGGATTCAAATCGATTTTCGAGAGAATCAGGAGCCTCGCAATCAACCGGCTCTCTGTGTCTTTCCCCTCTACCCTTTCTTCGTAAGACCTTAACCGGAGCACCTTTCGACCGTGCGCTTCCAGATATTAACCGGAGGACTTCCCGATCCGACCTCTCGCCTCCAGGCATAAACCGAAGGATTTACCGATCCACCCTACTGCCTCCTGACCTCAATCGGAGCATATTCTTTCCGCCTCCGCACCCCTAGTTTCGAGCTCAGATGTAGGTTGTGTGCGTGATAATTATCGTTGTATGGGCTGTGTGATCAATAAAGTTTTCTTAAGTCACTAGCAGTTTCTTCGAAGTCCTGGAATACACGGTCTCCGACCGACTACCCCCACACCGCACCGAAACACCGGTTACAACATTGTGTTAATTATCGAAAATATGCGGTTCTACAGCCTCACGAAAGTGAAGTAACCTGACCTGCAGTTGTTCTTGACGTACAGGAATGGAAAACGCGTCGCCCTAAATCAACAACAGCTGCAGTGAGCTACGTGGATCGATCAATTAGTAACAAAATTCAATTGTCAAAAAAACTGTTCCCACTTAAAGAATCCATGTCATTGTCATCCACTTCTACAGAGGATACACGTGCAAATACAAGCGATTTAACATCGCCTGGAAACATCAATATTAGTGGAAATAAACTGCACTATGATAAATAATAATGGATACGATAGTCATAAGACAAGTTTTTTAAATAAAAAATAACTAAATCGTTAACAATTGTATTATTCTTATACTTATAACAGATGAACTGTATGTACAGCAAATCGAGACAGAAAAAGCAAGTAGTAAAGAGCACTTAGCTTTAATTTTGGCTCTAAGAAAACAAGGCTATTTTCACCTAAAAATGGAGAAAAGTATGACAAATCCGGTACGTACATCCCAGGATCCCGAAGCTTAATATTTTGTTTGTACGTTCTGCTTGGTGCAGTATACCAAAAAATATTTGTACAAACACGTAAAAAATTGCAAAAACAAACCTCCAGATATTTCTCAAGCCAGCAAACACTGCCTTACCAAATTTCAAAATCTCATGGCTTCAATGATATCAAAAAATAATGAATTTTTGAAAAATTATCGCATTAAAACAAAAGCTTTTAACATTATGCGTCCTGATGGCATTTTGAAACACTAATTACAGCTTGTGGATACGATAAAAATTTAAAGATGTTTAAAGCACCTTCTCTCGCTCTACACATGGGCGCAAACTCAAAAATTGTATGCGATATAGCTTTGAAAATAGTGATAGACAAAAAGAAAATGCCTGATAAAAATTGGGTAGACAGAGAAGAAACAAAGACGACCATAAAAGAAATAAAAAAATAATTGAAGGACAATGCTGGAATGAACTCTCCAGCCTAGCACTGAGAGATCTTAAAGAAAAACTATGGGAAAAACCTGCAAAACTACCACTAGCAAGTGACATACAAGCATTCCAATCTTATCTAAGCGCACATGCCGAAGAAGCTTATAAACATATTAAGGATAACTTGAATGTGAAACAAAACTATAAAGCACTGACTGAAATGTGTTTTAGTCTTAGTGGTAATGTTTAATAGGAAAAGAATAGGTGACGTGCAACATCTAAAAATTGAAACATATAACAATGCAAGAGAAAGTACCAACAACCAGAAAGCTTTTGTAGAATCCTTAACTCCTGTGGAACAAATAATTTGTAAAAAATTAAAACGAGTTTTAACTGGAGGCAAGGGATCAAAACCAGTTCCAATTCTTGTCTTGCAAAGAATACAAACATATATAACGTGCTTAATAAAATTGCGGGAAGATTCTGTAATAGTGCCCACGAATACCTTTATCTTTTGCAAGTCCAGGTTCGGAAAATAAGTGGATGTCTGGTGTCCATTTAATCATCAAGTTGGCAACAAATGTGGTGCCCAAAATCCATCACTTTTAACTTCTACTAAATTTAGGAAGCACATAGTTATAACACTCCAATTAATGACGTTATGGTATGTAGTGTTACGATCTTTTTCGGTGTTCAGCGGTAGTGACTTAAAATAAGTTTTAAAACAATCATCAAAGTGTATTTATCCAGAGATTTACATGTCACTGGTTGATCGTAACCTCTAAGGGGGAATTCTAATAAAGTGGGGTTAGTACATACTACGGCAACTTATTAGTCATCATCCGCAATTCTTTAAGTTGTGACTAACACAGGGGAGCGCCAGTGTACAAATTTTAAGTTTAAACTCCCTAAATATATTCTTGCCTCATTCCATCGCGCATGGTATGTAATTGTGTATGGTGAATCAGGTTTTCACGTTCGTCTTTTTGAATTTGACTGGTGTTTTTTTTTTCCTAACAACGGCGTTGTGTTGTTGTTTTCTGTGTTGTGTTGTGACTGTGCTACTTAGTGAACATTAAAATGGTGTTTTATTGTTGCGTAAAGACTTGTAGTAATAATAATTCGAATATTAAAATGCACGGTTTTTCAAAATATTTACAGGTAAATCCATTAATCACTGTGGAAACATTTCTAGAAGAGATGTAAACCTTAAATGTTACAGCTATTCAATACATGGATTGCAAATATTGGAAATTCACTCCTCAATGAAAAAAGCATGGATGTTTTTCGTAATTTCGGCCTAACAGTGGACAGTATACCAACCTTAAAGCTGCCCTTTTCTGTGTCCTCAGGTAAAGTGAGATAGTAGTGAAGCTGTCTTATTTTAAAAATGACTAGACACATGTCTAAAATGTGATATAATATGATTTTTTTTAGATTGTTCCGCTGTTGGAGTATACCAAAATTCTGTAATTTCCCATGCGCAACCAGTTGAAGTACCACACTGTTCTGCAGTAGATGCTAGAGAAGTTAAAAAATGTGTCTCTAACGAAGTAGGCACACTGTTACAACAGTCCGAAAAACCA